CTCTACTACTGAGCCACCTTCCCAGCCCCTAGTCCATGAGACTCTTATCTCCAATAAACCACTCAGAAAACCAGAAGCGCTCAAGTAGCAGAACGCTAGCATTGAGCTGAAGAGCTGAGGGGCAGCGCCCAGGCCCAGAGTTCAAGCCCCATGACCAACAAGAAAAGAGAGACTCAACCACGCTCAGCAGTTACCACTGGTGGTCAGCAGGGTGTGGACAGATCACAGCCTGGCGGGCAGTCACAGTTCCTTAGCACAGGGCAGGGCTGCCACCCAGAGGCCTACACAGATGCTTCCATCTTAGGTACCCAAGAAGTAGGAGCCCTATCTCTTCACAAGGTCAAGTTTAACCTTTCTTCCTGCTGTCAAGCTGTGGGTGCTGCTGCAGCTCAGCAGCATCCTGTACAGGCAGGGAGGCCACAACCACGGAATCACAGGAATGCAATGCCCAGGACCTCTGTGCCAGGCTTGCCTGCCTTCAGCAGCATACCTGAGTTCTCCATTTCACTCAGGCAGGAGGCCACAGACTTCAACAGACCTCAGAGCCACACAGAGCCCCACCCCACGCCCCCACCCCCGTGAGAGGGGGTTTCAGAACCAGACCCACATGGGCAGACACAGAGCAGGCTGTTTTCTGTAGGAAGAAGGCAGGCTCCTGCCAACTGCTGGGCACATGGGGCCTGCAGAGCACACTGAGAGCCAGGGAGCCACATGTGTCTGGCTAGAGAAACAAAAGCCGAACAAAGCCCTGACACCCCCTCCCCTTCCTTTAGGCAGGACCGCCAGCAGGCTCTTCTGGCCAGACCCTACCTTTGTAAGGATGCACCATCCCGTCAACCACCTGCACCGTGTCATCCCCCTGCAGCTGCAGGGACACATCCCCCACAGCATCCACCAGCTCGGTGAAGAAGTCAGCAATCTCTGCACAGTCCTGCAAGAACACGTACCGGTCCTGGCGGTTGGTGAAGTAGGAGTCACTCAGGTTTGCGCTGTGGGAGGAAAAGGCAGTGAGGGCACAGGCCAGAGCACACAGCAGCACGGCCTTGGGGTAACTTGGAGGGGAGGCAAGTGCAGGTCAGCACAAACAAAGGAGCCAAGCAATGGCCACGCACAGAGAACTAGCAAGCATAGCACTAAGACTGAGGGCCAGTAGCTCACATCTGTAACCCTAGCTTCAGAGATCTGAGCCAACCCAGACAGAAAAAAAACCACAAGACTCTTGTGTATGTATATGTGCTTGTCCTATATGGCTTGAACTTGGGGCCTAGACACTACCAGTGAGCTTTTCTGCCAAAGGCAGCACTGTACCAATACAGCCACAGCTCCACCAATAGAGCCACAGCTCCACCAATAGAGCCACAGCTCCACCAATAGAGCCACAGCTCCACCAATAGAGCCACAGCTCCACTTCTGGTTTTTTGTTTTTGTTTTTTTTTAATGGTTATCTAGAGATGAGAGTCTCCCCAACTTCCCTGCCCAGGTTAGCACGGAACTGCAATCCTCAGATCTCAGCCTTCTTAGTAGCTAGGATTACAGGCATGAGCCACCAGCACCCAGCCCATGAGACCTGTATCTCCAATCATCCACCTAAAAGCTGTAAGTGGAGCTGTGGCTCAAGTGGTACAGCACTTGAGAAAAAAAAAGCTCAGGGACAGTGCCAAGACCCTGAGTTCAAGCTCCAGAACTAGCACCAAAAACAAAAACAAAGAATGGCACCAGACAACAGGAAACAGATTACAGCCCTCTCCCCTTCCCCCATCTTTCTGTTGGTGGCCCCACCCTGCTCAGCATTTGTTCCTCAGCCTCTTCTTGACAAAGTTATTCACTATCACACAAGAAGTGAAGAAGACAGACTGGCTCACGTGACAAGGAAATCGTGTTGGTGCACAGTGGGACCATAGCTCAGCGGCCAGCACAGGTGAGCTCAGCAGCGGCTGCGCTCCCAAAGCCCAGCAGTGTGGAAGAGGGCCACAATGTCTGAACTGGCTCACCACAAGTTCCCGGCTTCAGGGATGACCTGCCCTTCCTTCCTCCACAGCCCCCTCCCAGGCCCCCTCCAGACAGTTCTAGAGTGGCACCCCTGACAGAGGACATCGACTCACCCACTCAGGACGACGTTGTTGTCAAAGAGGTACACCTTGATGTGCTGGAGGCCGATGGTCTCGTTGAAGCGCTCGGGGGTAAGGAGCCGGAGGAGCCCGCGGAGGTTTGGAGTGTGGAAGAGGGAGACGCGTACATGCTCTGGAAACTTCTGCAGGAGGGGGAGCAGCATGGTGCGGGAGTTCTTCCTGCCTGTAGGTGAGGATAGGGATGGAGCAGACAGCCAGTGAGTCTCGCCAGAGAAGAGCCTGCCCTCGAGAGGAACCTCGCTCTACCTGCTGCCATCTCAGCCAGCCCCAAGGCAGCTTCATCCCTTGGCCCTCACAGCTCAGGGCAGGACCGAGCTCTGGAGAGCAGACACCTGCTGCTTCCACCATCTGGGATCTGTCTCCCCCTGGAGGTACCACCCACCCACACATGGCCGTCCTGCAGTGGGTGAAGAGAACCTGCCATAACCTCTTAACCCCAGCTCCACAGGAGAAGCCACAAGCCTGGGCCAGACCACACAGCATACAATTCACACTGTCCCTCAGCTCTTCAGCTCAAGGTGAGCGCTCTACCACTTGAGCTACAGCACCACTTCCGGTTTTCTGGTGGTTTATTGGAGATAGGAG